TTTCCCGAACATCAATGAAAGGCGCCAGGTTGCTAGGAGGCACGCGCTGCCTTTACAGTCCCACTTCCTCTAGGCCTTAAAAATGGTTCGTGATCCTGGGGAAGGCCGGTGCCAATAATTCGTATATTCCTGGGGAGGACGAAGGAATTTAGCCCACTCCGTCCCGGCCATATGGGAGATAGAGTTTGTTAGGATGGGAGGGGAACCAAGAGAAAAAGCCGGTTTGGAGAGAGGAGAGTGTATTTTCGACATACCAATGCAACCAGAAAAACAGCGAGGCACAAGCCGGTGACAACGATTACCAGAGAAAACCCTGAGAGATAGGTTATTCCACCGCTGTCACCATCTTCTATTGTTTCAGATGACACTTCCTGCCCATCTGTTGCCTGTTGTGTGTCTAGGGGAGTCTCCTCGTCTGGGCCAGCCGGCACCTGTGAGGTGGAAACTTCTTCATCTCGTGGACATGTTTGTACTTCAGGGGCTGTCTTTTCATCCAGGCTGGCCATCATCTGTGAAGCGAGAGCTTCATCTTGTGGAGATGCGGTCTCCTTCTCTGCCTCGATGACCGAGCCGGAGTGGCTTGGGACTGCTGTAGAAGCGGAGGACGCTGGCGCCACTTGAGTCGCAGCTTTCGCATCCGAGCTGCGGGAGAAAAGGGAGCTCAAAGGCTTCATCGCTCGGTACTCGGCCGGCGAGATAGATATATCTTAGTGAGTTTTATATGAAAGGAAGGCAGGCTGGCAGGCGTCCAAGGTCTTCCAATAGACACAGCAGAATCACAACATTGCTGAGAGAGAAAAAAAAAAAAACAAAAAAACAATATACAAAACAAATAATAGTCTAAAAGATCTTGCGGATTATGAGTTTAATGTAGAGAAGCCCAACGAATCTCGGTCGAGGCAGAGGCCAAAAACTTTCAAGGATCTCGGACTCGGATAGTTTCTTTCCCGCCTCAAAGTGCCCGGAGCAAGCTAACACACCTTTGCCGGACGGAACATAAGCTTAGCGCAGCGCCGATATCCCGATGCTCAGCAGCGAGCTCGTGCTTCGCATCGGAGGCGGATAAAATAATTTCATCACCCGCATGCGGACTGGGCCTTGGGCAGCTCCAGCTCCAGCTCAAGCAACAACTAGCTTTGTTGCCTGGGGAAGATGTCGGAGGTCAGGCACTGGGGATTTCTTAGATTCGTGGATTGCATTCCGAGCTGCAAAATCCTCGAAAGCTGACTGCCCGTGGGCCAGCGCATCGGACATCGCATTCATCCGAGATCTGTTGGTTGCCTGCCTCGTATTCCCTGTGTTGTAGCGGGGGATCGTGTTGGGTATTGGCAGTTAGGAAGTGAAAAGCTTCATCCTCGCGGCGTCTTCGGATCCGAGGGCGAACTCTGTCTGGGGGTGGAGTATCCTCCGCTTGTCATCAGCATGCATGCATGGCATAGTGTGATGGTGTGTGGTGGCACAAGCCCGGCGCATCTTGATGCTTCTATATATATCTAAATCTATTGAAAAGTAGATAAAAGCACAAGTCGGCCGAAGCTGGTTCCTGCAACCTGTATGCTTCTTTTCGATGCTCCCTCTGTGCGAGGAAGACATAAATCCTCTTGCTTGGGATAGCGTTTCTCGCCGGATCCCGCGCTGTTGGGACCAAGGAACCTCTAACCTGTAAATCCCCAGACCCATATCCCAACAAGCTGCGGAGACTTGGGCGGATCCAACTGCAGCTCGTTCCGGTGTCTGGTCGTATCTGGATGGCACTCTCTATCTATTCGTTCTCGATACTCATGCATTCTCTCAGTCAGAGAGGGATATAGTATCAAGATCCCTGCACAGCTCAAGTTATGTATACAGAGAAGAAGACCATCGGAGCCCATGGGAGCAAATGAGAGCTATCCCCTCCTCCTCCTATATGGAAAGGCCCGGCTCTGTTTAGGCACCCAGCTGAACAAACCCTGCCGACAGAAACAAGACATCCCTAACCATTTGAGCTCCTGGATCAAATTGATCTACTTCGATTCCAGAACTATAATCAATAAAATACCCTGCACTCGGAGAAACTCCCATCCATCAACTCCCCCGTACTCCCCCGTACTCCCCGACTTCCCCCCCAAAAGAAACAGCACAGAACACATATACCCCCACCCCTCCCCGCGCAGCTCACGAAACAGCAGACCTCAAAACCCTCGCGGCCAACTCTCCCAGCAACCGGGCCTTATCCTCCGCCGGCAACGCCTGAAAAACCTCATAAACGCTCTTCCCCTTCGCATCCCTCGCCGCTCCAAGTCGATTCCCCGCCACCGCGCCGGCCACCGCCCCCGCCAGATTCGCAACAATGAATCCCAGCGCCGCCCCACTCAGGCCGCCCACAACTGCCCAGAACCGGCCCGTCGGCCGCGTCCTCCCGCCATGCCCAGCATCGCCATCATCCTCCGCCAGCCCTTCCTCGCGCAGCATCTCCTCGAAGACGGAGGCGAACTGGCGCGAGGCGAAGGCGGAGCCTGTGTCTGTGTCTGTGTCTGTGTCTGTTGCCGGGCCTGGTGAGAACGGCGGAGGGGTGTCGGGACGCCGCTGCTGGCAGCGCTCGAGGTCATATCTGCGGCGGCGAGCGGGGTCGGAGAGGACGTAGTATGCTTCGTTGACTTTCTTGAAAGCCGCCTCGCGGGCGGGGCGCTCGGGGGACGTGCTGGGCACACGGTCCGGGTGGCATTTCAGAGCGGCGCTGTATATGTACATACATATGTATGTGTGAATGAGTAACTATCTGGATCAATATATGGCATGCACGCCCCGGGCACTCCCGTAATTTGATTCAGTTGATTCAGTTGACGGACGATGCGCACCGTTTATATGCGAAGCGGACTTGCTGCTCCGTGGCCGACGGGTCTGTTTCCAGGATGGTATCTGCGAATTTTCTGGGTAAGTTAAGTACTCGTAGTAGTAGGTAAACAGCCAGCATCAAGCGGATGAGATGCAAGTGAAGTGAACAGTGAACGTACAGTAATCCACACCATTTTCTGTTGGATATAACATATCTCATGATTAGTCTCTGGATTGCACCCGGCGAGCCTAGGGTTCTTACCGTCCATGACGCATGCGCTGGCTGCCCAGCTTCAAATCGCAAAGATACAAGAGATGGATTCTATGAGTATTGGACTGGAGCAGGGGACGAGGTGTTGGCTCGGGTGACAGCATCAGGGCACATCCTGGCAGAGATCTTTTCCCCAGAGCGACAATTGAAACCGTAAATAAAGTCTGTCCTCACCGTAAGTTAACTGGTTAAATAGTTGGAAGGTTAAATATTGATGGGCCTGGATGGCTGATCGAGTATGTGTATACTATAAACTGCATAGACTCTAGACACTAGTACTCTATTTCCTTTATATATCTATTTTACTCTATATACTCTAATGACCATAACTTAACCAACTGGTTGTAATGGTATGTTGGCGGCAACACACTCTCTTGAAGAGCCTTGTCTTCGTCCTCTGATATTCTGATACAGACCACAGCACGTCACCGACTCCAAATCCTCCAACGGCTACCCAGGCATGCCGATTTGATTTTGATAGACTTACCGGCATGGCCTTGAGTCGTTCTTCGACGTGCTCTTCTGGCTGTGTGCCCGTACTGAGTCCCGTAAAGAGCAGGCTATAGAAGTGGTGAAGGTGATATCTCCAGGCATTTGACAAGGCCATCGAGGACAGTGAGAAAGCAACTGAGCAGGCATTGTGCTTGAAGTTTCTTCTTCTTCTTCTTCTTCTTCTTCTTCTTCTTCTTCTTCTTCTTCTTCTTCTCTTCTTCTTCTTCTTCTTGTATATTTTCTTCGTAGGCAGCCACTAGCCCGCATCACGTTAGACGGCGGCCTATCCCCAGCCACCGCGAGGAGACATCTAGATAACTACCTCGTAGGAGATCCAACATCCAACCACCCGCGGGACGGTGGACACTTCACTTCGATGCCACCCATTGTCCAGCAATCCCGTCCTCCAATTGATGCTATGGTCAGATAAAACAGCATATGTCCCGTTGCCCTCTGAAACACCTCTAGCTCCGGTGCGCAAGCCTGCGTTTCAACCGGGTCCCTCTCTCTGTATCTGCTACCTAGTGAAATACAAATATATTTCCTCAATTTTCCGCCGCATAAGACCCAACGCACTCATCCAGCCGAACCAATTAACCCGTAGGTCGCACAATTGCACACCCCACAGGGACTAATCACCTGCATAACCATCCTTAAGTAACCACATCACTCCAGCAATGGACTGGCTGTACCCCTTCAGCCGCATCGGCCGCCGTGCACGCAGTCGAGACCGCTACTCCACCACCTCCTCCTCCCGCCACAGTCACAGTCACAGTCACGGCCACGGCAAAAGCCACAGCCGGCCCTCCCTCTTCAACCTGGGCGGGCACGCCAACCGCTCCACGACGTCTGCCGCCTCCCTGTTCTCCATCGGCAGCGCGGGATCCTCGTCGTCGCGCCGCGCAAAGCCGCGCTCGGGCTTCGTTGCCCGTGTCGTGCGCAGCATCCGGCGCCTGTTCCGGCATATCGTGCGCTATGCGCGCAGCCATCCGCTGAAGGTGTTCTTCATGGTCATCATGCCGCTGATCACGGGCGGGGTGCTGCAGAAATTGCTCTCCGTCGTGGGCATACGCCTGCCACCGTCATTGGGTGGGAGCCATAGTGGTGGCTTTAAGACGGGCAATGGCGGTGGTGGGGGGGGAGGGGGATTGGGAGAGAGTGTTGGGGGGTTGGTGTCGTTGGCGAAGATGTTCGTGTGAAGCGGATATATAGATATAGATACAGATACAGATATAGATATAGATATATCTACAGTCGTTCGAAGAGGGCGGAGCGGGGAGGAATTGAAGGGAGCCAGTGGAGTGGACGAGTTAAACTTATGTATGGGATCTATCTATGAATGCGCAGATGAGCCCCACCGCCAGTCCGCACAACAACAAACTGTTCCCTTTTTTATTATTATTATTACGATATTTTTGTTGACCTTTTGTATTTTTTTGGGATTTTTTATGTTGTTGCATCTTTTCCTTGTTTCGGCGGCCTTTTCGAGCGAAGTTCTCCGCTGTATTTTGGATCGTCCCCAAGGAGGGATCCATAGATAGGAACCAGCCATGACCAATTTTAGATGAGATGATATGGTTGATGCCAGAGGATGCTCTCCCTATATATATGTATTTTTTGCAGTTTTCTTTTCCCCCTCTCTTTCATGGACGTTTCCTCTTATACAACGTTTTCTATATACTGATTTTCTCTGGAAGCAAAAAGATAAGAGTACGTACAGTACAGTACATATCCAGTACAAAAGCTACAGCGCAACACAGTACCATCCCACCGCATATCCAACTCAAATTCGGGAAATGCATCGATAAGTTGCGCATACATACGTGCATACATACATACGCCAGCATCCGCCCCTCTGCTCTGCATCCTGCCATTTCATCATTGCACGTAAAAATAGCAAACCGCCCCAGGTCGGGCCGATATTTACACAGGAGGAATCTTACAACACCCCCCTCCCCCCCCTCCTCAGGCAGATAGGCAGCCTGCTGCAACCTTGTAAACTGACTGGCCTGTGCAGCGGCTTTTCAACTCAAGCTTTCCACAGCGTTGAGCAACTGGGAAACTCAACTGGAATGGCATGCAAGGGCAATGCGCGCAGGACGACTCTTTGGTTTGGTGCAAAGTAGCAGTTAGATGCTGTCTGAGGGGTGGACGAGGAGCATGCCGTGTTGTTGTTGTTGATTGGTGTGATGAGAATGGGGAGAGGTAGTGTATGTGGTTAAACTTAACCCGCGGAAGAAGTGCGATGGCCAGGCTAATAGGTAAGTACCGGAACGGATATAGGAGGTTGTTATACATAGGTACCATTTAAAATAGTACAATAAAGAAAAAGATCGAATGGCAAAGATGGGCAGGATATGGGGGAAAAATTATCGAAAAATGTAGTTATATATATCTATAAAATACAGATCAACGCATAGCCGCTCACCCATCGAAAGGTTGAAAATAGGAAAACAAAAAGGAAGAAAAGGAGAAATATAGAAACTGATGAACACACGCCCTGATACCAAAATCAGAATTGAATCAACCTTTTTTCCCCTTTTTCCGCGATCCAGAGTTATTCGGCCGCTTCTGAGTCCCCCCAACAACAGACACATCCGCGTCAGTATCTACGCCATCCTCTCTACCACCCTCCGTCACATTGCCGTCCGCTGAACCAGCCTCACCGGCTTCCAAAAACCGCCCCAGGGTTCGCCTGTACGCCCAGAGCGGAAACTTCACCGCAAAGGTATCCCGCAGACCGGGCCGCGGAATCTCGTCAACATCCAACAAGAACTCCTCCGTCACGCCGTCCTCGTTCTCCTCTTCCAGGAACACTTTGCCCCCAGCATCGACGATGAGAACCTTGCCGTTCTCCGCCATCACCCGCTTCCGATCGCCGCGGTAGCCGATCACGCCCTCGCCGTTGGGCGTCGCATTGCCAGATGACCGCCCCTTCTTCTTCCCGTCCTTTCGATTCTCCTTATCCATCATCCGCTTCTGCCTGCGGTTCATCGCCACGGCACCATCACCGGGATCCGCGCCTGATCCCGCTCCGGACGCAGCGGCACTGCCATTCAACTCGCCCAGGCCTGCAATGCCCTTGACACCTAGCTCATCGCCCCACGCCGCCCGCCTGGCGTGTCGAATATAGCGATCCACAAACTCCCGCTGCCGCTTCCAACTCAGCACCAGCGCGCCATAATGGGCCGCGCCGCCAAAAGTCACAAACAGGCCGAATAGCACGCTGCCCAACCCTGGGCGGAAGCGGGAATAGTAGTATCCCGTCCCCTTCCACTTGGGGAAGCCATTGCGCAGGAAATGGTCGTAGCGCTCGCGTTCGGGGCCCTTCAGGATGTTATGGACGACGCCGAGGCGGGCGTAGCGTTCCGTCGCGAGTTTGAGAGCGTGGGCGATTTCGCGTTCCGAGGGGCCCTTGGAGACGCGAACGCCAGGTTTTTGGCGTTTGTTGGTTGTATAGGAGGCGATGAAGGTGCGTTTGGCTTTGTCCGGGTGGAGTTGTTTGGATTTTTTGCGGAAGGCCTTGAGGAGGTCGGCCTGGGAGACGGTGGGTTTCACGCCAAGGAAATCTGTGGGAGAGGTGTTTCTCCCGGGTGGGGGAGTAAGTGTTAGTGGATAATTTTTACTTCTTCGCGGGATCAATTATATTATTGTTGCTGTTAACGCTGTTGTTGTTGCTGGTGGTGGTGATGGTTTTTTTTTTTTTTTTTTTTTTTGGTTTCAGGTACCTTTAGCCACAGTTTAATGGCATGGAATAAAGAAAAGAGTGTCTGGCACATACCGTAGAAGGTAACATTGAGACCCTCGGTCTGCTGCACCTCATCCCGCAAGCGGAATATCTCATGGTCTAAATGCAGTCAATGACAACATAAACATTAATTAGTCCACATGTACAGTTACATTGCACGCCAATTCAGTGTGTGGGGTCAGGAATGTTTGCGATTTCGCGAACATGGGTTTCGAACCTTCTTTGGTCCACGCAGCCACCAGAGCCAACAAGGTTGATAGGACGACCAAGAGCCTTGCCAGCGAATGCCTCATTTTGGGCGAGAAGAGGGATGGGGATTAATATACTGCGTCGTCGTAAGAGGAAGGCTCCTGAGGATGTTGGCGCCCGACGAGGCGGGGATGTGGGAGGGTAAAAAAAAAAAAAAAATAAATAAGATGTATCGCGAACGAACAAAGCGGAAGCCTTGTCAGAATAGCGTGGGCGAGGCGAGACAAGGGACTGAGACGTAGCGGGATTCCCACTCTCCTGCCCTGGTCGTGACACTTCTTCGTTTCGTTGTCTGTGTCCCTCTTTATGCTTTTCCCCTTTGTGTCTCTTGTTCCCCTTCTGTTTCGCAGCAGTCTTGAGGATGTTCGTTTCTCCACCGGGCCCCAGAGAGATTTCAACGTGGACCAATCAACCCGTGCAGCGTCGCAGCGAGTTCAAAATACCGATTATCATTATTGAGAACAAGCAAAGTCAAAGGGCCGCACTGGATGTGATGAGGATGTGGGCATCTGCAGACTGCAGGCCGCAGACAGTTGGACAGATATGTAGTAGTTGTGCAAGGCTACGGAATAAAGGCCGGGTTGGTGGTGATGGTCCTCGCAGAAGGCTAGTATTTAAAGGGCCAGCACCCGTCGTCTGGTTTCTCGATCTCCTCTTTGGCAATCTCTCTGCCTTTCCTTTGGCGTATCCCTTCCTCTTCGTTGGCCTTTCTGGGTCCTGGGTCTCGTTGCGGTGGAAGAGAAAGGTTGAATGAAGCTGGCGATGGGGCCAGCTGGGCCAGCTGGGCCTGCTCTTGGGCAGCCACAGTGAGGCGTTGCCCAAATAAGAAAAACAAGAAACACTCCGTAGGAGAGATCGAGTTCCACGCCTCGTATCTCAATGCTTAATCCCACTCGGACTGTGAATTCCTCCTGTCTGGCGTGATCTATTGCATTCCTTCGGTCTCGAAATCTACAAAATCCCAATCTCCAAACCCCGATCGGGCAAGCGTCCACGTGACGGCGCCCTGCCACTGCTGAGTCAGTCTGCGTGAGGCTGAGTCCTGGCGCCTTTCCCTTCTGGGCCAACCGTCACTCCTGCTTTTTGATTCTTCAACGCTTTGAAACTGCGAGAACTTGCATCGACGACGGACGATTATCCTATCCCAGATTCCCATTCAATCCTGCTGCCTTGAGTACTACTCCAGGAGACAAAGCCCCCTTGGAAGAACGGTACGTGGCTTGAATTCCCTGTCCTAGCCACCTCTTTATCCAGATTAACCCCTTATTCTCAAATTCATTTTCCCCCTTGAAAGATATCACTAAAGTAACCTGTTAAGATAGAAAAAAAGATCGCCCCCCCCCCCCCCTTCAAACAACCTGTCAGCAGCTTTTTGAATCTAGCCCTCGTTTTTCTTTTCCCCACGGAACATACATATCCCAAAGCCCAACGCAATGGCCCGTCTTCAGATTCCTCTTGACGCCTTGACGTCGCGCTTCAACCTCTCAGACAGGTTCGCTGGAGTCCGCTCCCAGTCCCTCGCAACCCGCTTCTCCAATCTCAGACCACTTTCGGAGTTCTTCGATATCAAGCGGGTTTCCAAGCCAGCCAACTTCAGCGAGGTCCAGAGCCGTGTCAATTACAATTTGAGCTACTTCTCCAGCAATTACACTGTCGTCTTTGTCATGCTTAGCATTTACAGCCTGCTCACGAACCTCATCCTTCTCTTCGTCATTCTCCTGGCTATTGGCGGCTCCTATGGGATTGGCAAGCTGGAGGGACGCGACCTGGAAATCGGTGGCTTCCGTGCTACCACATCCCAGCTCTACACTACACTACTCATTATCTGCGTGCCCCTTGGTCTCTGGGCTTCTCCACTAACCACTGCCCTTTGGCTCATTGGAGCTACCGGAGTCACCGTTTTGGGTCACGCTTCGTTCATGGACAAACCGATCGAGAATGCTTTTTCAGAGGAGGCGGTCTAGATGGTCGGCCGCGAACTCCTTACGATTCGCCCCTCTGGGGAAGACCATCGGGGGTGCGAGTGCGGAGATCGAGCAAGGAGGGTTGGCCGAAGCAGCTGGAGGAGTCTGTTCAGATAGAGCAGCTGGGTATGGTCGACTATGGTGATAACGACGACGACGACGGCGATGACAACCAAGGTGTGCGATTAGGTCCGCCGTTCGACCACAACATACGGGCTCTGCGCCCTGACTATAATTCTAGCGTGCGCCTCAAAGGATATCATGGCGTCGATGATGATGAGTTGTACGGGGAGGATTCCTCGAGTGATGACGAAGACGAAGACGAGCATGGCCTTATTGGCAGCGACCCTAATAGTACAATGGCTTATGCTATGCAGCTGGCTCGCCGGGATAAGCAGGCGAGGCTTGTCGAACGGGCTCTAGCGAAAATACGTCGAGCGCAAATACAAGGGCTATCAAAGGTCAAGCTTTCGCAGCGGGAACTTGATGCTTTGGAGCAGAGGAGGCAGCAGGATGCCACGGTCGAAGATTCGAAACCCAAAGAAAGCAATCGGCAGCCTGCCATTGATAGCAAGCCTGTAGTTTCGGACAAACGAATACCGGGCGGGTACGCTTCTTCCACGGGGTCTCCCAGACGCCACTCACCGACCCCTGGCAAACCATCGAGCCCTTCCTCACAGAAGTCCCGTTCGCGAGTGCCCTCGATAAAGCCAACCAGGATGTCGCAGCGCCCGGACACATCGCCCCGCAACAAGCCTCAACAGATCTATCCACATGCCCTTCCATATTCCGTCCCGGAAGACCCGACTGCTCGGCCAGGTTCCTCTCCGTATCAACCAAACAAGCGCCCCGGATCCGGTTCGAGCAGCCATTCAGCATACCCAACGCACTACCACCACCCGCCATACTATACGTATCCAATGCCTGCTACTGATCCACGCTACGCCTATTCTACACACCCGCCCCGAAACGCCCCACCACCAGCTATGGACGCGACATACCAGCCCGTCTACCGCGCCATGTCTGGCGACTCGTACATGATAAACCACTCATCCTCCGACCCTTTCGTTGTGCAGCATGCCTCGCGCCTCTGCGAGTCCCCCCCTTCCATGCGCAGAAGCAGCGAGAGCAGCAGCAGCGGCGACAACGGTGTGCACATCGCGGTTGAGAACCCTAGTGTGCCAGCGGGGTACGCGGCGAAAGGGACGACTGGTGATGGTTCTGGCGGTGCTGGTGGCATCCACGGGCGTATACGCCGTCGAAAGCGTCGTCATTAGTTAATTAAAACCAGTTCCTTATCACTTGCCTTGCCTGGCCTGGCTCGTTCCCTCGTCTTCGTCATTGTTTGTGAATTGTAATTAAATCTATCGCTATCATCATTACTGTCGTTTGTCTTTCGTCATAGATATTTTACTCAGTTTCACTTATATACAAACAAAAGAGAATAGACTCTAGACTCTCTTTCTTCCGAGCGGCGTCTCGGTCCAATCACCCCCCCCCCCTTTTTTTTTTTTTTCTTTTCCTTTTCTTTTCCTTTTCGCTTTTTTCTTACTTACTATTTGCTATTAATTAAATTTTACTTAGGAGATACTCGAGACAATTGAAACATCTTCATGTCATGACAAGCAGGGGAGACAGAAGTTCCTCCACAAATCTCAGAACAACTTGCGGCCGTGTCCATCGCTAGTCGTCCTAGCAAACCACATTGTAGCCCAAACCCTCCAAATCGGAATCAGAGGCTATTATTAGACGTCGAGAATGACTGGTTTTCAAACGGCATTTTAGCAGGGGAATAATAGTTTCACACCGCTAAAAAATTGTTTTTAATCGTAGTTATCATCTAGCTTAGCTTTTGATACCATTAACTTAGTTAGAAGATGGAGAATGAACCATGATTCACACAATGAATTGTATATCAGACGTTGGGTTAGAATAAAATCCTCTGGAAATGATGTATAACCACAAAAGAAGGAAGACGGAGTAATGTTGGTCCTCATCGCAATAGTAGTTATAGATCGACCATGTTATTTCTTGAAGCTGTGTGTCAGTCGAGCAACAACATCCTTCTCAACCGCAACCAGCCAAACACTTGTCTCAGCTTTTTTTCTCAGCGCCGGCACCGCACTTATCCTCACTTTACTTGTTATTTACCTTTTGGAAAGGAATCAATCTCCCCTCCCCCCACAGCATCTGATACGCCTATCTGTATCTACCGAGCCGGATGATGAGATGTGCGAAGCTTTGCTATTGGCATAACCTTGGCAACTTTAAGCGTTCAAGGCTTTCTGGAAACCTTATCGAAGAATCTTATCCTCTGAAGGATTCGAATTTTTATTTAAAATTGATGTTAACATGAGCAGATCCCTTCCC